ATGAATATCCCTGAGGATAACTGATGAAGTGATGTTGGTATTTTATATCCTCTGAATAGGAGGTATTTTATAACCTCCTTTATTTTCGTGAAGATTATCAGACAAGTCGCGGGTTTATAACTTCCTCGAAAACTCTGATGGGAATTAATGCCAACTTTGGTACTCATACGAGGCTCAAAAGTTGCAATACTTCTTAAACTCGGTGTGGCCATTCTCGGGTTTTATGGTCAAGTTTGCCAAGCTCATATATAGAATGCAGTAGATCCAAAGAGGGGTTCAACAGGCCAGCTAAGTGTTGATGAAAAGATAGAATGCAGTTCCCCCCTCTCTCATTTCTCTCTAAGCAAGAAATACGCATGTCTGTCAGGTCGATACATTTCATAGTAGGTCACAGAGTCTCTATATAGTTCTAGAACTTACCTAGCTCGATCTATGTTCACGGTGAAGCGTAATATCGTCACTTCTACCTTAAATTTACTCACGAACATTGCTTGACTCACAGAAATGAAATTGAGGAAGTACAGTGGACCCTGTGTTAACAATAATTGCACTCAGTTAACAAATTTTTGGTTTACAAACTTTTGGTTTCCAAGAGAAAAGCCTTTGGCTAACAAAGCAAAATCTGGCCAACAAACTTTTTCTTTGGAGAAAAATCCAAAATTTGAAAATTCAAAATTTGATTTCAAGGTTGGAATTTATGGTACAATTTAAGTGGAAATAAATCATCTAAACACTAATATGAAAACTTTAATAAGTGAAATCTTGTGCTTAGAAATTTTTTAAAGTTACGTTATTCATATGCTTTTCTGTGACCACATTTTTTCTGTGCTTGGTTTTTCTGTTTGTTCAGTTGTGCAAAAGGTCTTTTTCATCTTCACTTTCAGCATTAAACAAAGAAAATTTTATTTTTACCTGACATGTATCCTTCATTGCTGTGTGTTTTTATCAATGTGAATCTTTTAATATTCGTTTTCATCAGTGATGCATTTGATACTTTCATGTGTACTGTAACACTGTAAAAACATTCCGAACACATACACAATGCAGCAAAAACTTGTTTGGATTATAGCTGATGGTGTTGAATTTTTTATTTTCAATGTATATTTGTCTTTCGGGTTCACAGAATGGATTAACCATTGTGCAGCAAAGTTGGCATACTGTATTTTCATAAACTTTTGTACCCATGAGCACCAAAAATTTTAAAAAATTGGATTTTTGAACCAAGGCCTGAGTTGGGAAAAGTCCAATATTTTTTCATTTTCATTTTGCAGAAAATTTTACCTCAAACAAATTCCTGAAAAAGCTCATGGGGGGTTTTCATTAATTCCTAAAGCATAGGATTAGCATTGGAGATTTTTTGAAAAAAAAAAGGATTCACCCTTCACACATTTTTCCAGACTTATGCTCGTCCAACCTGGGGGCATTTTAGTGAACTTTGGTCAAACTGAAATGCACATCCCCCCCTCCCTCCAAAATCCTGATTTTACCATAGGATGGCCAGAAATTCCACCCCTGTCCAAGGGTTACATTCTTCCCAATTGAAGTCTATTGGAAAAACAAATTTGGTTAACAAACTTCTCGGATAAAAACCATTTGTTAGGAACCAATTAAGGCTGTTAACCAAAAATCCACTGTAGAAAGAAGCTAAAAATTAAAATAAATAGGAACCATCAATTTGAACAGACCAGGAACGTTGCTTTATGGAGATAGAATCAAGCATTTTCTTTGAGGTGTTTGCAGGCCAAATTTAGCTCGGTTGCCAGAGGAATATACGCCACATCACCAGCATTCCTGGTTTCTATGTGTAGGCGTTATTGCGTCTAAGGCGTTTAGGCCCGCCATTTATCCTATGTGGATCGTTGAATTTTTACTACATTCCGACTCGACTCGCTTTTGGTGTTTGCCGAGGAATTATTCAAGAAGCGCGCATCTTTTCCAAGCAACGAGGAAGAAGTCAAGACAGCCAGGAAAAAAAATAATAAACGGATGATGGAGAGTATGGAGCTCTTTCTTCCTGTACACCAGGAAGAACCTCGGGTCGTATCTTATGCAGCATCTCAGCTTTCGTGACATGACTCCACAAAAGGCGCTTCCATCTCAACCCCGGGTTCATTATTCAAAATTGATCGCTGTACAGTAGGACTCGGCTGCAGCTTCCGCAATCGATTCAACATGACACCCTTTGATGCATAATGCGCAGTTTGCTCGAGATATTTTTGAGCAACAAAAAAAGGGGATTATGCATCATTCTCATCACGGAAAGACGTCGGTGAAGTGCGTTACCCTGCGAAAGTCGGGTGTTCGAACACGCGAGGTTTAAGGATAGTTATATACTAACTTCCGAAAAACATGACAATTCCCATTGTTAGCGAGAAGAATGATTAGCGTACTAAAGAGGCATTAAATGTTATTCTTCCGTGAACAGTCGTCATATTTCAGTGCGGCTTTCCCAATTTGATCGGGGGCACTTCTTATTGCGAGAAAAGATAACGAGGAGTGCTAAATATTTTCGGATGCAAAAATAAAATCTTTCGCGGAAATGGCCTGCTTCTCTTCGATGCATAAATCAACGCGAAATTAAGGTGCCATGGATCATAAAACAGATTGCAATTTCAAAATTCCTAAAAATGACAAATGGGGAATTCAGGAATTATTTCTACTATAGCATCAGCAATTTAGAAGTTCTTTCAAACAGGACAGACCATGAAGTATCCAAATGTAATCTCGAACATAACTGATAAATCGTCAGAATGATGAACTAGAAAAGACCGCAATTCCTGCAATTCTCTTCCAAATGCTTCAACCTAAATTCTCTCCGAAAAAATACTGTAATCAAAATTTCAAAATTCAATTTTCTGAAATACTTTGCGGCATAATTGTGTGCAGTTTTCCAAATTCATATCATATCACTTTTAAAACCTGGAATTCGAAATTTGCTCAGTGTTGTAGGAGAATTCGTGAAAATTTGCTCATGAAAATATTTGTCGTGAATTGTAGGAAGTGCTTTAACTGTTGGACGTATAATCTGCTGAAGGATAAATTGGGTGAAAAAAATCCAAGGAATAACGCGGCTGAAAATGAAGTATTAAGTATTCATCAGCTCACTTTTTTCTCATATTTATATATATGTAAGTGTAGACTTGAGGCCTCGGATTGAGAGAAGCCTGTGAATATATAAATGGTTTCGGCCACTTTGTGCAAATCGTTATAGGAATACTGTATGTCAAAGGATTCAAAGTAAAGGTCTACAGTGAAAGCCACTTAACCCAAGAAACTCTTTCGAATCCATCTGAATCAGAGACATCTTTAAATTTTTTACGAGAGCTAGAAAAAAGTTGAACAGGTTAAGAAATTCGAAAGGAAATACTTCTTCAACATCTTCTTTCCGTAGCTTCCGTACGTTCGGTATGCAATATTAAGCGATCAATATCGAATATGACACACCGTATTTTTCCTTATTTTCACAATATAAATCCGGAAATTGTTGTCATGTTTTTTCTTTGGATGCGCCACTAAATATCACTCAGTTCGAATTACGTCGCAAATGGCAAAGGATTCAGACTAAAGCCCTTTTGTGAAACACAGCATGATTCTCGTTCTAAATGTCATCATCCCCAGATATAACCCAGTTACCCGCTTGCCTTTAATAGGATATTAAGTGCAGGCGGAAATGGATCCAGCTCTTCCCAAAGTCTGGGAGAGGATTTTAGACTCATTTAGAGAAAGGATTTACTCTGAAATTGAATTAGATTGCTCTGAATGAGATCATCTCCACTTACTGTAAGTGCTGGTCTTGTTTCCGAGAACCACTTGTTGAAACTGAAAAAGCTCTGATGACGTAACTTGAACATGCAGTAATTTTTATTCGTGAACTCCAAGTGCTTCTTTGATCCCTTTCTGACCGGCGGATATTCCTGGGCTTCCTGGTCTAAAA